CACACACACACACACACACACACACACACACTCAGGGTGATACTGACATCTACAAACACTTCATAAATAAAAAATGAGGTCGCATCAGTGGAGCAACAGAAAACCACGTCGGAGCAGTTTATTTATACAGTTATATAACTACAGTGCAACTGCAGCTAATAATACTAGTACCTCTGAGTACTGCCACTGTAAGTACTGTACTTCACGACTGTAGTGATAGTACTCTAACAGATCCTGCTTCAGTTCTCAGGTTTTTCTATTTTAAAAGCACAACACTCAGTTAAAGTGGCTGCGTTTACTCGAAACCTGCGAAGATTCAAAATAAACATCAACATTTATTCCCATCATCCTTTGCAAAGGTAATTCACAGCAAACACTGATTCGTGCACAAAATGGAATTCATCACAGACACTGTGTGACGCTCAACGTTTCTGGGGACGAGAGTGAAGCCGAGGAGATAATCTTCAGAGTGTCTTTATGTTGGAAACACGTGGGCTGAAGGGATCAATGCTCCAACCGCTCTTTGTTTGCTCTCGTTCTCCTGCCTCTCTCTTCATATCTCAGCCAATCACGTGTTCAGGTATAAATAAACCACACCAGCGAGAACTTTCTCACTGTTGCTTGAATTGATTCTCACCTTTATCAGTGATGCTTGTTCTTAATTCAGTCATTTTTCTAACCTTGTATTTATGTTGAAAACCTTTGGTTGGCCTCTTGTTGTTGTCGTGTTTTGCTCGTTGCTTCCCAGATGCTCCCGTTTTAACGGAGGTTTAGTTTAAATCGCTAAGCCTCTTTGTAGATTGTAGCTTTCGTTTGGCGTTTGCTCCGGAGCGACGAAACTCCACAACAACAAGAAGCCAGCAAGACGTTCCAAACTTTAAACTTGAACAGAACATGGGTTTAAAACATGAATATTGATGCTGCTGTTGTTTTCCTTGACGCGTCACCACTTTGAGTTCAGCTGGAACACAAAACAACGGGTTTGATTTTTGAATTCTTTCTTCTCAGCAGGAGCAGCCTCCCAAAGAGGAGGTGTCATCTCAGCCGGTCAGCTCCTTCCCTCGACCCCCCATCTCCATATGTGGAGACCTGGTCCTGTCTCTGGAGTACCGTCCCGATGCGGAGAAGCTGCTGGTGTCGGTGGTGGCGGCCCGGGACGTCCCGGACAAGGCTCGCAGCGGGATGGACTCCTGGCAGGTGCACATGGTCCTGCTTCCCTCCAAAAAGCAACGGCACAAGACGTCGGTGCAGAAAGGCTCGCTGCCGCAATTCAACGAGACGTTCCGCTTCTCCCGCCTGGAGCCGCCGGACCTGCGGATGTCGGCCATCAGGTTCAGGCTGTACGCACTCGGAGGCAGGATGTCCCGCGAGAAGATGATGGGAGAGAAGGTGCTGCGTTTAGGAGGACTCAACCCGGCCGGCGGGACGATGGAAACGACGCTGGTTCTGGAGCCTCGCAGTAACCTCAAGGTGGGATCGATGTAAACAACAGTGCAGCTATACGGTGACTTTACTTAAAGGTACAATGTGTAACATTTAGAAAATAATTTTTATTAGTGACGCCATCGGTGGTCGTTGAGTGAACTGCAGTCAACATCCTGTTTGTGATCACGAGCGCTAACACAAAGTGGTGACAGGACTGGCTGGTCAAAATGGGAATGAAGTCTATTTCCTTTATGAACTTGTTCTGAGTGAATTCTTTCTCATTAGCTGAGATCTACATCTCCAGCTCGAATTCCTTGTGAAACTGATATTTGCACTTCTCTGCTATAGTTTGAGTAAAAACTCGTCCCTGTGTTTGTGTCTCTGTCAGAGTGTGGACTCGCTGCTGAGTCTGTCCACCGTGTCTCAGAGCGACAGCGCCTCCTCCACTCAGTCTCTGACCCACGGCGGCGTCCCCGAGCTGCTGGTCGGCCTCTCCTACAACGCCACCACGGGACGCATGTCCGTGGAGCTCATCAAGGGCAGCCACTTCAGAAACCTGGCCGTCAACAGACCACCAGGTCAAAGCCCACACTGACAAACAGTCCAGTATGAAACAAGGAGATGACTTACATTTGTTTTCTTTCTTCTCCTCTTCTCCTCCTCTGGTCCAGACACTTACGGTCGCCTGTCTCTGCTGAACTCGGTGGGTCAGGAGATCTCTCGCTGCAAGACATCGGTGCGTCGTGGTCAGCCCAACCCCGTCTACAAGGAGACCTTCGTGTTCCAGGTGGCGCTGTTTCAGCTGTCGGACGTCACGCTGCTGGTGTCCATCTACACCCGGCGCAGCATGAAGCGCAAAGAGATGGTGGGCTGGATCTCTCTGGGTCAGAACAGCAGCGGCGAGGAGGAGCAGCTCCACTGGCAGGACATGAAGGAGGGTCGGGGACAGCAGGTCAGCCGCTGGCACATCCTGCTGGAGGCGTAACGCCGCCGCCGGACACGATCGAGTTGATTCTTTACTGAGGAAAGAAAAAGACAGATGTTGATCTCATTCACTGACAGGAAGATGCATGTGGTTTCAGCTAAATATCCACTTCACCTCCGTCACTCCGCGGAGACGTGAGGAACAAATTCATCTGCTCCTGGAGGCTGATGGAACTTCAAAATAAAATGTTTTATTGATCAATCAAATTAATTAATTCAAAGACAGATGTTACACAGTGAAGATTTTAATCTGGATTCATTTGCACGATTCTCCACTTTCTTTTTGTCGTCCAAAAATAACTTAGTGCACAAATGGTTTTAACTCCATCGGCCTCAAGGAGCTGACAATTTGTCCTTTTCTGTCCGTGTGTCTTTGTCTCTGTCACAGGATCCTTGTGGAGACACATTTCATGGGTCCACGGTTAGTTTAGTGGTTGAGGTTTGGAAACTTCTGGAAATGAATGCAAGTAATATCCCCCCCAAAAAAAATGACCTGCGACAACATTTGCGTGTGATATTTCTGAATCTGGCTGCTCCTTTGCTGGCAAATCAAAGATGCACAAATGTGCACAGCAACAAGTCAAGCAGAGAGACTGCAAACAAAGAGACTGAGGGATTTGACACGATGATGTTGGCCTGAAATGAACCAGACCAACAAGGACGGAGATATTTTTGCTTTTCTGCATGAGCATGGAGGCTGCCTCATGCGCCCGTCGGTTGTGCACATCCTCAGAAACGTCAACGCAACATATATGCAACGAGCGAAATGCAAAATTTTATGACAAACAAGCTTCTAAAAATAGCGGACGACGGATCAGCACATTTTTAGAAGTTGACACTTGCAAAAATAAATTAAGCTATTTTGAGACTGTTACGTCCGTGCACGTCAACGACTCGTCAGTCGTCTGAGCTGTGTTTTAATAAAAAAAGTAACATGGGATAAAAAACATTAACATATGAACAGACAGATTTGAATAACAACTAAAGAGATAATTAAATGTCTAATCTAAAGTCAAGATAAAGAGAGTTGGACTTTGTTCGTCTCAGTGGAAAAAGACGATTTCCAAAGGACGGTGTGAGAGTTTAAACTGATCGTATGAAAAACATGAAAAATGTTTGGTGGGTGACGTAACGATGGAGCCAGTGTTCTAGTTCCTGTTGAAGAGAAACGCTGGCGAGTAGAAGTACGAGGAGAGAGGAGGAAGAGGAAGAGGAGGAGGAGGAGGGCGTCTCATTCATATTCAACACTCATTCATATTCTCCTGACACTCGTGTTACTACAGGAAGACCAGCAGCTGGAGACTCTTAACCCCGGCGGGATGAGAGCCCTCACCCCCACCCCACCCCCACCCCACCCCCCCACCCAATCATCAACACTGAATGATGTTGTTTGGCTGCGGCTCCTTCACGAGTCAAAGCTCGTTCCAACACCATCAACGCTGAGCTGAAAAGAGGCTTTAAATATATCTCACTGCAGCTGTTAATAACATGCAATGAATTAACATGAGAGTGTGTGTGTGTGTGTGTGTGTGTGTGTGTGTGTGTGCACACCTCACACACACTGCTCTCTGTGGTAATTGGTAGTTACAGCTGTAGAGTCGTACAGTGCGATGCCATTAAGGCTCATCCTCTTTCGCTCTGAGCATCACTGAGTCATACGCAGCAGCTCAGCCCAGAGGGGAGGATTACAGCTGTTTACTGTAGTGACTCCAAAACCCTAAGGGGTTCAAACACCGAGCGCAGCGGAGATGTTTGTTGGAGCGCCCGCCGCTTCCACACCGGTGACGACAAGTCCTCAGCTCGGTGTGAAATCTGTGACCGGAGGCGAGAAGTTATGAAATGTTTTTGTTTCAGAGTCATAAAGAGACGAGTGTCACTGAGAGATCATCGTTAGTAATAATAACTTTATTCACACAGCAGCAACAAGAAATCAAATCAAATACAACAAAGAGATTAAACAAATCTAAAATCAAAGACATCAAATGATATAGTAAAAAATCTGCAGGTGAAAATAAAACAACATTTATAAAACACAAGTAATGAATTAAACGTTTCAACCCACAAACAAACGCATCGAATTGACTTTAACCATCAAACTGATTCTTCTCATCGTGGATCAGATCAATCAATTTATTTATTTTCACAAACCTTCAGACTGAACGACCTCCTCAACAAGAGAAATGAAAAACTACCTAAATGAAATGTTTGCAGCAGTTTGCTTCAGAACGACTGAACGTGTTTCTCCAACGAGAACACGGCGACGTTTTAATGTGAATCAGAGACGACTGAGAACAAGGTCATTCATTCAGAATGATGATGATGATGATGATGATGATGATGAAGGGCAGCTTCAGTGTGTGAGCTGCTGGACGTCATGTTTAAAACACGTGTGAACAAGTGAAGCACGAGTGGAGAATAGGAGTCGTGAACTTTTGTTAAATATGGAGATCGGACTCACACGGAACATTTGAAAAAGCTTTTAAACAAACTTTATTTATCGGTTGTGATTTTTGTTGAGAAATGATCAAAAGAGCCTTCATCTTCGTCTTCATCATGACGTTCCTGTCATAACATTTAGAGTCAGCGCTCCTGTTCTCCAGGCTTCAGATGTGAGCGTGAACCAGCGGCTGTAAACAAAAATGGACGACACATCGTGAAAACCGAAGCCAAAATATCCCAGATACCAACGCTGCCATCTCGGGCGGAGTCACTCGGAGTTTGTGGGGCGGAGCCGCTTCACGCTCTCGACCAATCAGGAGTCAGTCTCGTCCCGTTTATGATCAAATAACCGATTAAAACCAAACTGATCCGAAACACAAACACTTGAACAAACATCAGTGTGATAAGAACAACCTGAAATTTATTTACAGTCAACTTTGATTTTGTTTTTAGTTTGGTCCATGTCCCATCTGCTGACATGGAGGAGGTTTGTGACCTGACTGAGACTCTGGCGTCTCCTGTGGGAGCGTGACGTCCATCTTTGTTTCCAGTCTGTGGTGTGAACGCTGACGCTCTGCATGTGGACTTGTACAGAATCTATAACATCTATTCTATATTTTTTAAATGGTCGATGTCGAGTGTTCCTGAATATTTCCAGGATTTCTATCGTGGTTGCACATCTGCATGCTGTGTTCCAGACCCCGGGTTGTATTACAGATGTGACACAGCTGTAAATACTCTGATGAAGTGCCTGTAACATTTGGAGATGAAACATATCCACGGAGAGAAACTTGCATGCAGCCTCCTCCTTGTTGTTCCACGGGACGAGGGTTCGTTCGATCCAGAGCAGGCGTCCCGATGTCAAGGCCCGGACCCGGCGCTGAAGTTCACGTCGGAGCAGATCGACACGCCGGCTGGAGTCTGCTGCAGGTCTACAGGAGGGCGGAGCTCCGTCAGAACCAGGACCAGAACCGCTGATGAGTCGAGTGTGGGAAACAGAACATCTGGAATCAGATGTGTCTCTGACGTCTCGTCTTCCTGTAGACAAACCGGCGGACTGAGCCTGTGACGTTAGAGACTGATCACAGACCTCGTCCCCCTCCGGGGCCGTGCATGCCGACCCCCCCCCAACACACACACACACACACACACACACACACAGCATCCACAAAAGCACTTTTTGTACCAAGTTTTGTCGTTGCCAATAAAACCCAGATCCCCCCCGCTGTGGGACGGTCTGTCTGCCATCTGCTTTCTCCTTTTCCGTCTGTCCTCTCTAATCTCTGCTCAGATGTCTTAGTTCTGAGGCTTTTATTCTCACACTCACACTAAACAACAATAAACAACCAAAC